CGAATCACGCCCAGGGCCTGCATTCCTTGGAAAAGCCCGGAAGGGCGTGGAAATGTCTTTGTTGCCAGGCCTGAGTTTCTCTCAACCAACTGGCGTGTCGCAACTGCCTGGACCCCAAATATGAAATTGACAGTCGAGGGCCTCTTGCGATATGTAAGGCCCGCCTTCACTTAGGGCGGGCACCATTGCCTTCACTTAGGGCGGGCACCTCCGCCTTCGCTTAGGGCAGGCACCTCCGCCTTCACTTAGGGCGGGCAATGCTGTAACAGGGCCCCATAGGCCTACCGAGGACCCTGACCCTCGCACACCCAAAAAAAAAAAAAAAAATCTATTTTATAGGGCATACTCCTGTCAGGACTTTTTTCTTTTTTTTTGACTTTTTCGAAAGTCCCAATTATTTGCAAAAAAGAAGACAGTTTGAAAAATTCCAAAAAAAAAAGGAGATCGTTTTAAAAGTCTCATTTTTTTGCAAAAGGAGATAGTGCAATCAGACTCGCAAACTTGTCTTGTTGGGTCGTTGAGGAAGACCGCTGAGACAAGTTTGTGAGTCTGCCTCATGCATTATCATATCATGCGCATAGTTTGAAAAGCCCCGATTTTTTGCGAAAAAAGGAGATAGTTTGAAAAAGTTCAAAGAAAAAGAACAAAGGGAAAAAAAAGAAAAGGAAGAATTGTGGAGCCGAACAAGGTCAAGCAAAAAGGAGGAGGACACAACTTGAAGGGCATATTATAAACACATTGGGACTTTCTCAAACTATGGGACCATATGGGTCTTGTTAGAAACTCCTAAAAGTGCTAGTTTTTTGGATTGCTTCGTGGTTGCACGCATTCCTAAATCCGATTTTCAGATGGAAAATGTGAAAACGGCCTTAGGACTTGTCCTAAAAAGAATTTAGGATTTCCCAGGCAAAATATCCTAAAATTTTTAGTAGCCCCGGACCTACTGAAAAATTTAGGAAACCGCATTTGGCGGAGTCGTGGCATCGCGTGCATGGCACCGCCGTCTCGAACTCCGTGGTGCAGAAGTTGTCCGTCGGGCCACGGGATCGGACATCTGAGGCATTCGGTGGGCCGAGGGGGGCAACGGCCACCAGTGGTAGCCGTTGGCGGGCGGGGTGGAGCGCCGAGGGTGAGCGGGGGTGCCCTGTCGTCCGTAGTCGACCGTTGGCTTCGATGCGAAACACGGAGGAGGACGCCGACTCGCGCAGCACAACATACCGACGACGGACGGGCAGTGGATGGGCCCCAACGGTCGAAATTTGAACTGCAGGCGTCGTCTTGTGCGTACAACGATATATGAAGGTACTGCGGTCCGATCCGTTCGCATGCCGGGCGACGTCTTCTATAGTGCTTGTCTGTAACTGCATCTGAAGGCGACATTCATGGCAAACATGTACAGGAGGTTGTCTCTGCTGCTACTCGCCAGCATCGTCTTCTTGTTTGTTGTCTTCCGCCACGTGTGTTTCGCGTTCCGCCCGTGGAAGCAACCTCGCAAACAACGGGCGTCCACGATACGGCCTTCCGTGCAGCGACGAATGGCGAACTTCGATGCAGGCAGAGAACTGGCGGCAGGTCAGGGTGGAGTAGGATCTTGCACGCCGGTGAGTTGACGGCGGTACGACCCATCGTTGTACAGCCATCTACCACCACACGAGCAGCCGCTGCCCCCGTCGGACGAGGAACCGGAGACGGAGGAACTCACGACATTACCTTTGGGCAGTGGGTCGACACTGATGTGGTCGATCAACCCCGAGCCTTCGCCACGTTCCCTTCAACGCGCAGGAAGTGCGCACACCCAGCAGTGCACACTCGAAGCCGGTGTGTCCGTTAATGTCGGTGTTTGGCCTTCACTTTCTAACCAGCAACATGGCAAGAGTGTGTGGTCCTCCGAACGGAGGAGAAACGGCTGCCTCGCCCCTGCCAGATTAAAAGCGGGCCACGTGCGCATCGGCGATAGTCGTTTGGACATGCCGAACCCGAGCAAAACTACGCAGGCGGACTCGAGACACGATGCCGCTTGCAGACCACCGACGTGTCCACAACCTACAGTGGACAACATCATGTGAGGAATGTCCAACATGCGGGCACACAGCGATGGCGGCATTCCGTGATGACGTCGACGATGGAGACATTGAGGACATGGAGGCAGTGGACGACGACGATGAAGTCAAAATTCGGACGTTGGGGAAGACAACAGGGAGGGCGAAAGGATGCGGCAGACGTGGTGGTCGTGGTCGATCCAGTGGGCGGGGCGGCAGAGGAGGCGCATCCGACGATGGTGGGAAGCCGGCGGCATATTGGTCGACGGATAACCAATTGCGGCTTGTGAGATGTAAGAGGGAGCAAGACATGCACCTGGCAGGGCTGGGTCACAATTACGGCCGAATGCGAACGAAGGAGTGGAAATGGGATGACATTGCGAAATGGATGGCCAACATGGGGACGCCAAAAGAAGCCGATGACTGTTCCAAGAAGTGGGACAATCTATTTCAGAACTACAAGAAGATACAAAGATTTGAGGGGAAGAGCGGCGAGGCAGATTTCTTCAAGTTGTCGAACGAAGAGCGGAAGGAGCACAATTTCAAGTTCAGGATGGAGAGGATGCTGAACAATGAGATCCATCGAGCATGCCAGGCAACCACACCATTTTCCCTCCCAACATCGCCAACACTGGTAGTCCGGAAGGGGTGCAGTTGCCGAGGCGAGGAGCGGGAGGTGGGGAGTCTGTTGGAAGTGAAGCCGGCCGTGATGGCGGCGCAGATGACCGTTCCTCGGCTAGGGACTCTGATCAAAACGCAGGTAACGGGGTCGGAGGTGGAAAGCGGAAGAATGCATGTCACCAGACTTTCGAGGCAATCACTGATATGATGGACCGGCATGGGCAACTCATGGCATCGACGATCAATTCGTCGAGCAAGCGGGAGTGTTACATCTTGACCAGGCAATGCGACAGACTAGAGCAGAAGGTAGCGGTTCAGAGAGCGCATTATGCGGCGTCCAACGAAACGCAGAAGATGATGTGCCACGCTCTAATGGAGATCGTTGCCGCCATTCGAGGTCGTTCGACGATGTAGACCCTTCCTTCGTGTGTTGTCTGTCATTCCGCTCTTGCGCTTGTCAGGGTCTTCCTTTGCTTACAGACATGAAATTAATCTCTTATATTCTTGTTCTATATTTTTATTTTTTTTCGGTCCTCTACCTAGTCGGTCGTGTGCCCTTTGGGTTGATCATTGTGCTGATCTTTCTGCTGATCATTCCCTGTGAGTCATCATCGCTCTCTGACCGCTGAAAGGACAAGGCTGCCAGCAGAATAAATCACGGTGAACAACTGGTCGAACCACTCCGCGCCAACGGAACCTTCACCGTCGTCGCGGTTCCTGCAATACCTCCACTCCCTCGTGGCGACATTGCATGCTCGCTGTCTTCCACGATTCGCCGTCATTCGCTCGCAGCGCGCAATCAGCATCCAATGTTAGCCACGTACGCAAGCTGCCACCTTGTAGATCGCACGAAGCAGGACATTCTTCGGGAAGGCGGTACTCGTACTCCTTGCCAGTGTGAAACGTCGTTGGCTCAACTCCGGGATGGACGTCTACAACAGTAAAACGTTGCGGGACGTAGTAGCGCGGCATCAGGCAAGGCCATCTCTCCAAAGGGCGGAGGCGGTTCTCGTGCACGCAACAAGAAGCGTGATGCACCTCATGACGACGCTGGAGGAGCGGACAGAGGAGGGCGGCAAGTGACGAAGGCAAAAAAGGATCGCCGAGACAGCGCATCATTCAAAGGCGCCCGAATGGACGGGGATGGGTGGGGAAGACCAAGCAGGACCGATGATAATGACGTCTTCTCGACTGCCGTTGAAAGTTCGTGCAATAGTTGGGGGGTCAGCTGCACAGGCGACGACTTGCGACGAGCGCAGCATCAACGTCGAAGTGAATGAAGATGCGAGGGTGGACGATAGCCAAGGCGGTGTGGTGCCCGAACGTAACGCAATGCAGCCGGTTACACTGTCAACGACGCCACGTCAACAGCGCACAATTGTGGCTATAGGGGGAGCGATGCCCAGACAGGCAGTCCCACTTCCAGCAACGCCACGTCAGCATCACGCGGGCGAGAATGTCGGATCTGGTGTTGCGGCCGCCACTGCGACGACGGTGGAACCGCCGCAACCCCGCCACGCAGGTGCGGACGTAGGAGTTGTGCAAGGAGCACCGCAGGTGGGGACAGGGGAAGGCTGCACGGAGGAGGACGTGGCGAGCGCAATGGAGGTTGCGCGTGCGGAGAAGAAGAGGGCGAGCGAGGATGACGAACCTCTCGTTAACAGGGTGCGCAAAGGCGGACTGGCGAAAGATCTGGCGGAGCAGGTGAGACTGTGGGTCGATGACAAATCATTGTGGACATCAGAGGAGGGGCACAGACTCTACAATATCATCAACGAGGCACGTGAGCACCTCGTCGTCGTCACAAGCGGGCTTCCACTCGCGAACGTCCTGAGAAGTGTCGCCATGCCCAGATCCAACATCGCGGAGATCAGGATCACGGATGCAGGGCAGTTGCAAGGAGCATTGAGGCGCACATCGAAAGTCTAGAGTGTGGCCTTGTAGGTTTTGCATGGCGGGGTCTTCAAATCGGGCTCCGAAAAACGAGAATAGAATGTCGCCTTCCTTTACGTACTGGAATCTGTGGCAACCGACATTGCGCACGTGATGTGGCATGGTGAGGAGTAGAGTAACGTCGTCAGTCCCACCGTTTGTGTGCACACGCTAGAGAATAAGGATGGACCTCCCGTTGTGGTTTGTTGGGGTGCACATCGAAGACAGGCCGGCAAACGACAAGATGGCAGCGTACCAGGTGGCAACTATGATGGGACTGATCGCGACATTCAGCACGACGGCCGAAACGGCCCAAAACGTCGCTGGGGGACGCGTCGCACATGAACATCAGTCTCATCTGACTGAAAGCTTCAAGGAGCTGTTGGCGGCGTGCATGTGGATCATGCGAATGGCGGGAGATGATCTGCGCTCACACTACGAAGCCTTCTACATCCCCAACATGCTCGCCAAGCCCCTGCTCGTCGCGTCCATGCACTGTTTGTTCGATCGGCGGCGGCACATCATGTCTACAACCAACTCCACAACGGAATAGCTGGGGAAGGCGCGGGTGACGTTGGGGCACTCCCCGAACTTCCCGCCGGACTTAGCGCCTTGCGCCGTTAAGTTCCAACATTATGCCAGCTTGTTAGGGCCCGACGAGGCGAGAGGGCTTCAGTGGTTGAGGACAGGGCTAGCCGCCGCCGCTGACGACGAAGATGACGAGTAGGAGGAGGAGTGAAGTGGAGAGAGGGGTGTGCAGCGAGGACGAACATGACGATGTCGCGATGATGAAAATGCTGCGATGATGATGATGATGATGATGATGATGATGATGATGATTTTTATGCCGATGACGTGCCGATGATGATGATGATGATGATGATGATGACGATGATGATGATGATGATGATGATGATGATGATGATGATGATGATGATGATGATGATGATGATGATGATGATGATGATAGGTATGACAGTGAACTTCATCATTACGACGATGATGACGATAATGACGATGATGATGAGGATGACGATGATGATGATAATGATGATGATGACGGCCACGGTGACGACGATGATAATCACGACCGTGATGACGAGTTGGCGATGTGGGAGAAGTTGGGAAAGGCCTTGCATGGTGGTCGTCATTGGTTGTAGGTGGCACTATATTTTCCATAATTTTGGTTTAACTAGCATTGTAGTAGACGACCAGTTTCTGCGTACGGTCATTGGGGTGGTCCAGTGCTTGTTTTTTGTTTTTGTTTTTTTTTGGTACGAAAGGCTCGCTTCGTGCGCCTGTTTGTCCCTTCCCAAGACGTTGATGATGACGATGTGCATTGGTGTGGCAGTCAGGGGGCCTTTTTATTTTGGAGGACAATCACCCATTCGAAATTCACGTCCAGACGAACGGTTGTTGTGTGTGAACGGTATTAATTGCTGCAGTTTAACGACTTTTTTTTGTGTATCATTTTCAGAAGACCTTGTCAGGCTTGTCATCGCCTCCATACATGTTTGAATGTGGTCATCTCTGCATTCGATGATGTTGTCATCTCTGCATTCCATGAACATTGCATTGCATTGAATTTTTGTTTTTTTTTTTGTGTGTAAAAGGAAAGTGTGAATAAATAAAGAGAGCATGTGGATCATGAAACTGGAATACATTATTCGCTAATTGAAGATAACAATTGTTAATTGACAATTTTTGACGCAAGTTTTCTTAATCAAAGAGAAGAAACGCCAACGACAAAATAAGACAACCTTTGCAATGCGACGACCGACAAGCAAGCCATTCCAGCTTGTCAACTTTATCATCTATTTCAGAACTCACAGTAAGCATATGGATAACGAACCGCTGCAAACCATTCCAGCACTTCAATGTAATCATCAACTCAAAATGAATTAGAAAATGCATGTCCCGTTCTGTAAGGTTGGAGACCATCTACTCTAAACAACAGCTACACGGCACGACGTCGCCGGTGGAAGACCGCACTCCCTCTGTAGGCGCAACACAAACCAACCCTCAACCGTGCAACGACTAATCGCGACACACGGCACCCGCAAACTTGACGTCGTCGATCATGGACCGCTGGACCACAACCTGCACACCGGTGGCGATCCGAGAACACGAGGAAGCACAAAACAAACCCGAAGTCCACTCTCGATGCACCATGGCACACTCCCACCTCCCATCCAAAAGAACCACCAACTCCCCCCCCCCCCCCCCCCCCCCCCCCCCCCCCCCCCCCCCCCCCCCCCCCCCCCCCCCCCCGCCCTCCCCTCTGGTGTGAGAACGGGCGAACTACTGACCATCCCACGGTAGGCCAATCATCGATGACATCAACCCTACTGTGTCGGCCGCCATACCGAACGTGGCGCTCCCACGTTCTTCACGACCCACACCCCGCAGCTGCACACGCCTACATCAAAGTCAGCCGGTCTCGAAGTGCATCCCTCAACAGGTCCCCGTCGACGTTCGTGCTTTGTTGCCTCCCGCCCGCATCTTTTCCCACCATACCTAAATCGACTCTACGTCGGACGCCGTTTTTATCCACCTCCCACCGCAGGTTCTCGTAGAACTCGATTTTCGCATCCAGGAGGATGTTGTGGAGAGTGCATATGGCGACGAATTGTTGCGGCAAGGTCTCCAAATTCGTTTTGTGGGTGCGTAGGAATAGACGCCACATGCACTTCAACCGCCCGAACGCCCTTTCCACACACCCCCGCGCCACCTTCTGCCCTGGGTAACCGTTTGAACACCGTGAACGCGCGTTCTCATTCAAACGCGTTCAAATGCGCCACATGGCAGGGGGTAGGAAAAAATCGAACGCGCACCCCCTCCCAGCATGCGCGTGTCGTGCACCACCCTGGGGCGCGTGGCATTCAAAAAAAGAAGTAAAAAAAATAAACACAAAATACCCCCACCCAAACATATACACACGCACACCAATACACACAGATATTTACACACACACACACATGCACTCCTTTTTTTTGTGGGGGGGGGGAATCTCCCTAACATGGCTCAGAAGGCCCATGCAGGCATTTCTGAAGAGTCCTCGCAGTAATGTAGCGGAGACCCTTCACCAAGATTGAGGGAGGCAGTGAATATGAAGTAGAGCACGAGCTGGACGAATATATACTAACGATTCAAATTCAGGTCTGTGTTTCAGCAGTTATGGGTTGCTCACGTAGCCAAGCCGTGTTGCTCTCTACACGTGATTCTCAGGGTTTGGCTGCACTACTCACCAAACATGCAAAACTAGAATGAATCTTCTGCAGAACATGGAATAATATGCCGCCAAAAATTTCTCGTTTTTCTTTTTTATCGTTTTTCCTTTTTCTCATTTTTCTTTTCTTAGCAATACGTACAGTGGCTCTGAGGACCTCTACTCACCACATGCACAAAAGACAAAATATATGGCGGCGTATTATTCTATGTTTTGCAGAAGATTCATTATAGTTTTGCACATTTGGTGAGTAGTGCAGCCAAGCCCTGAGAATCACGTGCACAGACCAACACGGCCTAGCTACGTGAGCAACCCATAACTGTTGAAACACAGACCTGAATTCGAATCCTTAGTATATATTCGGCCAGCTCGTGCTCTACTTCATATTCACTGCCTCCCTCAATCTTGGTGAAGGGTCTCCGCTACATTACTGCGAGGACCCTTCAGAATGCCTGCATGGGCCTTCTGAGCCATGTCGGGGAGATTCCCCCACCCCCCCAGCCCCAAAAAAAAGGAGTGCATGTGGCCACAGTTTTTTTNAAAAGGAGTGCATGTGGCCACAGTTTTTTTGCCGCGTATGGATGCTTCGTTTTTTTTTTTGGCCATTACTTGGTCGTTTTGTTTTTTTTTGCAAGGTCGTTGGCCCCTCCCCCACCACCCAGTCCCTCCCACACCCCAAACCTGTCGCCCCCAATACTACATGGCTTCTGCGCGAACGTGTCAAAAGCGTTCAGCTGCGTTCAGTGAACGCGCGTTCACCGCGTTCAAAACCTGAACGCGAAACGCGCGTTCAATGAACCCACAGTAACACAGCTTCTGCCGCATGTCGAAACGTTCCTTGTCAGGACGTTGCTCGATTCCTCTGTACGGCTGGACGATCCATGGACAGGCAATGGGGTACCCGTTATCGCCGAGAAGGTAACCTCGCGTCACGACACCATGTGGCAGATTCTCCCGAGGGGCGTTGAAAAGCTCACTACTTTCTGCGCGCCTCCACAAATGGGAGTTCTGCAGGCCACGGACATCGTGCACACTTCCCGGGTATCCGACGTGGACGTCCAGGATACGCAGATCCAAATCGACTACCACCTGCGCTTGAACGGCGGTCATAGTAGTTATCGGACGGCGCGCCGACAGGCTTGTTAATGTACACGTGTGTGCAGTTGATTGCGCTGACGCAGTTAGGGAAACCCTTCTCCCGAAAAGCTTGCAGTACCTGCACATGTCTCCGCCCAACAGGCCACTTGATGGATTCGGGGTACGCCTTCAACAGCGCCGAAGTTACATCGCCGACGACCTGTAGTCCAGTGGCCCTGCCGATGCCGAACGCTGACGTGCCACTCTCGAACGTCTCCCCGGAGGCCCGCCTATACAACGTGAAAGCAATGACCTGCTCCGCAGGCAATTGCATCCTGTAATGTGTAACCTTCTTCTCGACGTGGGCGGCGCATGCGGCAACGATCTGCATGGAGACATCCCTGTACATACGCAACTTGTCGTGGAAGTAGTTTTTCGTCGCGTCGTCACATAGCCGGAGATCCTCCCAAGTTCCGCCAGTCCTTCGTTTGATCCACCATCGCGCCCCTTCCTGCGGGAAGACGCCGGAGTAGAGCGCCGCGCACAACTGCAGGACCGCTTTAGACGTCGCCACGCAATCTGGCGCTTCGACGACGCGTTGCAACAGTGCTCTGTGTTTCCGCAACTGCGAACGCTTCTGGCTTTCCGTGGACGACATTTCGCCCACCAGTTAAGGACCACGACAGTCACCGCCATCGCCACCGCCTCCCTCTCTTCTTCACGCAACCCATGGCCGCCGCCGCCAACGTCCATCTCCGTCGCCCTTTTGCCTCTCACGGATAACGCTTGCGACCGCCGCCGAAGATGATCCCGCTGCTCTTCCCTCCCACACGACACTGCGCACACCGCTCACGACTCACACAGACGCGAAAGATGGAGCTCCGCGCCAATGGAATCACCACCACCATCATTTGTACGTCCCACACGTCACCTGCAAGTCCTCCAGCCCGCCTCCCTGCGTCTGTAAAAATTCGAATTCGAATTTTCGAACGTAGTCCTTCCCGCACTTCCCACCTCACCCTCCCCAACCGGGCAGGGCCCACCACCGTCTGCACCACGGACACTAGGCTGCAATGGGCGGACATCGACGGCGTGGCTGCGTATACGTATATGAGAACCGGCCGCGGGGGACCATTTAGGATGATTCCTAGAAGAAGTTTTTTAGGATTGCATGCGAAGACGCCGCAGCAAATTCTAAACTCTTTTAGGACTTGTCCTAAATAATTTAGGATTCCTTTAGGAGTGTCCAACGAGACCCTATCTCCATTTTTTGCAAAAGGCCAGATAGATCCACAAAAGTCTCAGGTTTTTGGCAAAAAAAAAAAAAAAAGGTAAGTCTCAATGTGTTTATAATATGCCCTTCAAGTTGTGTCCTCCTTTTTCCTTGACCTTGTTCGGCTCCACCGTTCTTTTTTTTTTTTTTTTTTTTTCCCACATCTTCGTATGATAGTCAACAGATAGACTATAAGAACTTGCGGTCATGATTCCCATACATGGACTGAGTTGCCCCAAGTGCGCTTTAAGGACCATGCACTCTATTGAGGGGAAGAGGGCAGCGCCAGTGCTTCTTTTAGGCCCCTAACATTAGCCCAATTGCGCAAGCACAGTGCTATGCGAATTCGGTTCCCAACCACACTTTGGGAATCCCTGCTCCTTTCCCAGCACCTCTTCGTCGGCCTCTCCCTCCTTCTCGTCCTCCTCTGCCTCCTCCTCGAGGCCGCAGGCAAGGAAGGGAGCAGGGAATACAGGTTAGTTTTTTCTTTTTTTTTAAAGAAAACAAGAGAGCATGGGCCGCGAGGGGGGCGCTGAGAGGTATGAGGCAGGGGATAAGGGCCGGTCCGATGGTGCAGTGTAGGACTGCAGGTGCATTGTGAAAGCAACAACCGGACGCCGTTATT